CGATATACTCTGCGATTTTTTTTTGATTACTGAGAAAACAATATAGGCGTAAAAGATAAAAACACATGTTATGCTGTTATAATACATTTTAACAGCGTGTTTCTCCAGTGTTCATCTGAATTCTGTTCAGATCATTTTCCGCAGAAATACACCCATAGTTGGTGCAACAATCATAAATTTCATTGTTTTTCAGGAGTGCTTAGTACTTCATATTTTACTGTTTAAGGCGTAGTAAGTCGAGAGTTATTCAAATTTTATTGTTTACAGGCGTGTAAAGTTGAGAGTATTCGTATCTTATTTTTTACAGGTGTCGTAAGTTGAGAGTAATTTGTAATTTATTCTTTACAGGCATACTAAGTTTAGAGTATTTCTTACTGTTTACAGGCGTAGTATGTTGAAAGTACTCCTTATTGTATTGTATATAGGCGTAGTAAGTTGAGAGTGTTTTATTTTTTATTGTTTACATGCGTAGTATGTAGATGGTATTTCATATTCTATTACATTAGTCCAAGCATTCATAGCAGAGTGAGATTTTAAATCAACAAAAGATATTAAGGACAGAATATCTCAAAACAATTAAACACAAAATGTCTCAAAGTGTAAAATTGTTCACCCTTCAATTGCCTTCACTTTTTTTATCTTGGAGAAATTATTACATTTTTACTACAAAGAAAGCAAATTCTTATCAAATAACATGATAAGGAAAAGTACCACTCATTGAATGTTAAATCCCATTTCTATTTTCCTTGGAACCTAACAAAAAATATAACAACAAGTTAATTCATACCATGGTAATGTTTATTTTCATCTAACATAGGCGTATTATCCTGTCAAACTAATCAGGAAAGGTCTTCTAAAAGACAGGCGTGTATTGGTGGACAAATGGCCGGACTTCCAGATTGCGTTGGTGACAGAAAAACAGGTCAGATTCCATCCATCTAGAATTCCCTACTTGGTATAAAGTCTGCAAATAAGCAAAATATGCGTAGGTAATTATTATCTTTAAAGCGAAATATAAAGATTTTTTTGTTTTGCAAAAATAAAAACAGCAATAAACAGAACGCAAATGCTCTGAGTGCCAAAAGGAGATTAAAATGAAAATGAAAAACTGACATAGACAGGTGCAATAATTCAGATGGATGCCAATGTCTGCACAACTTCTGTGAGGGTATTTTGAGTAGTCTTAGTGTTAAGTGTGTATATAATCATATCTGTTTCTTGATATTTCATGGTTTATTTAAATTAAGTCAAAGAAAAATTGGGCGGTATCTATAATTGTTTTTTTCAATTGTTTTTATACTAAATTTAACTTCAGTACTCCAGTTATCTGCATGATCAAAGAAATGTAAGGATGATCCACAGTATTTATACTCAAAATTAAAGAAATCCACACAGTACAATTTGAGAACAGAGCAAACACGGACCCCTGAAAACACCAGAGGTGGGGTAAGCTGCCATACAGAGGGCTCACGGCTTGATACCAGGGGATTCTTACTTCTCTTAGACACTTGTTTTCATCTCTGAGGTTTCCAGAGGTCCCTGTTTTGCCTTGTTCTCGATTTGTGTTGTTGATATGATTAACTCCTCACAAAAATATTAACTACTCCTTATTTATTTAAAATAGATATCACAAAATTCGAAAAGATAATATCACTTAATGGCAATAAATAACAAAACGGTGCCTCATAGTAATGAAATATTTCGACACCATACCACCACCAATACACATCCCCCTATCCCCAAAAGTCGAAGTAGACTTTTATTACTAAAGATATTGATTACTTGATTACTTTAGTCAGGCAAGCTTTTTTACAAGGTGGTACTTGTATATATATATATATATATATATATATATATATATATATATATATATATATATATATATATATATATATATATATATATATATATATATATATATATATATATGTATGTATGTATGTATGTATGTATGTATGTATGTATGTATGTATGTATGTATAGGTGACTCTCGATGGCTCGAACTCCGATCTCTCAAGGTTCTCGATCTCTCGAAGTGAACCTCCGGTCCCGTTTTTTCCCTCTATATAACTAAGCAAATTTACTTCTGATCTCTCGAACTTCCGATCTCTCGACGTTCTATATTTCTCGAACGAAGACACGGGTCCCGCTACACACATTTCATTGTTTTTTACTCTCTAGCTCTCGAAGTTTTGATTGCGCGTGTGTACACGCCAATCAAGAGTAAAATTAATGCATCTTGGACTTACCTAGAAAACAGTGAACGCCTGGGGTTAGCATGGAAGTGTTAATTGGGTGTTTACATAGATGACACTATACCTGTGAGCATCCGAGTGTTCATATAATTAATTGGTTATAATTGGTAAATTATAAACGAACTGCTTATTTTGACAGCGAGACGATAATTTTTAGAAAATAATTTAAGAGACGTGTCAATGATTTTCCATACATGTAGACTATGAAGTTTTATTATAGAGTCTATACAATCCCAGTATGACAAACATTGCAAAAGAAATCCTATCTCAAGAATCAAGCCCGGGGTAGCCACACCGACGATTGCTATTCAGATTTCATGTAATCATGAAATGAGAACAAATAAATATTGAAACTTAAAGAGATCGTTTTATTTATTCAAAATACGATCATTGTTGTTGAAATCAAGTGAATTACCTGTTAATACGAATGAAAACGTGCAACGACATTATCAACATATACTTCCGGTATTTATAATAATAGAACAATGATGATCAGAACTGAAAATCCGGATTTTATTCACTTTCTATCTCTCGAACCCCTCGATCTCTCGAGCATTTCTTGCGGTCCCTTGAACTTCGAGAGATCGAGAGTCACCTCTCTCTCTCTCTCTCTCTCTCTATATATATATATAAAGCACTAAAAATGACCAACGACACGAACAATAAAAATTGTCAAATTTTCGGGACGACCTGTCCCTTCTTCAGGACAAATAAAAAAGATAAGAAGTCATAAAAACAAAGGAAACAGAGAAACAAAAACAACTAGCACTACTACTGAACTACCAAACACTAAATATTTACAGTGTTACATTTTTTATTTAATTTGAAGTTTATAAACAGTTGTGAAGAAAGAACTCCTGAGCGCTATGAATTGCGTCCGGTCTATCGGGTGTACTCTGGTGAAGTGCGATTTACATAATTGAACGAATTAGTTATCGCTAATTAATTACGACCAAGTAGTAAGTCGTACACTGTCTTATTCTCTCAATATAGCGTAACTATACATGATAAAAAGAAACTAACGAAAAGTAATATGGAAGGCCAATTTTAAAATATGAATTTGGATATATTATAAATTTGGAAATCGGATAAAAGAAATAAACAAAAATGTAAAGTATAAATATTTGCGTAGGTTGTTCCAGAATTGCAAAGCTCCTGGATTCTAGAGATTTTGTCGGTAAAAATGAGGTCTACCAAGTAGAACTTTTTACATTTTCTCGACTAAACTATGATTTACGCTAACTTTGACAATTTTAAGGGGGGCGCGCGCCGGGTGCGCCCCCCTTAAATCCGCCACTGATCAAAATGATTTGAATTACCGTACCTATACTGGATTCCTAAACTCCATAAAAATCCTTACAAACAAAGATGCATAGCGGGTTCCAGTAAATGTTCTACCAAACCTCTTTCTTTATTCCTCACTAAAATATTTACAGCAGTGAAGGAGAAACATCAGGAGTACTGTACAACAGTATATTGCAGAAGTGGTATAAATCAGATGTGGATACTTAAAACCTCAAAGGAACTTTTAAAAAAATTTAAATAACAAAATTTTACCAAAATCAATAATATCAAAACGTACGACTTGTCAACACTTTTTTCAACCATTCCCCACGCCAAATTAAAGTAAGGTTTTTTTGACATCATAGACAGCTGCTTTTTCAATAAAAATGGAACTCGTAAATATACTTACCTTGTCATTGGTCATTTGCAAAATTATTTTGTTAAAAACATTGTTATTATACACATAAGTAATCTGAAGTTGATATTGAAAAGATGCTTGAGTTTCTGATTGACAATATCTACATAGTTTTTGGAGATCAGGTCTTCCAACAATCTGTTGTAATTCCCATGGGTACCAATTGCACCACGTTATCAGCAGACTTATTTTTGTATTCATATGAAGCAAAATTTATTCAAAAACTTCTATATGAGAAGAAGAGAACACTTGCTCTGGCCTTCAACTCGACATTTATATATATATATATATATATATATATATATATATATATATATATATATATATATATATATATATATATATATATGGAGGACGTATTATCGATTAACAATAGTTACTCCCATTCATATATCGATTCGATATGCTCTATGTAGCTAATGACAAACAAGTTGATGAAACAAGGATATCAAAAGTCTCATTTAAAGTGATCATTTGGCAAGCTCCATGGTCGATACAATGACCTTGTCAGCAAATACAATTTATCTTAAGTTAAATGCTGACTATCGTTTTTCATACTAATTGTTAGACCATTACCTACACACTGAATTGTCTACGGGTTTTTCCGTTTGCCAGATCATGGCACGGAGCACACGGCGGGTGTAACCGGTCGGCAGGAGATGCTCAGTCCTCCATGGCACCTGATCCCGCTTCATATGTTTTTGGAGGCCCGTAATTGCTCTGCCCCCGATTTGTATTGTTTAAATAGACTATGAGCTTGAATATTGCTTGTTATCTCCATATTTCATTGTCATCTGAAGAAAGACAACACAGTTATCACCCTGCACGTGAGAGAGACATCGCGAATTGTCTCCCTGCACTTAACGCGCTCTAAACCAATCAGATTGACTGTACTATTTCGAAGGATAATAATATTTATCAAAACAATCAACTTCTCCTTTTGGGGCTTTGTTTTATTGGCGTTTTATTTCTTAAAAAAAAAAAAGGTTGAAGAGACTAAGATCAGAGTTTGACTCATTGACCTTTTGCTTTGCCTGCAGAAGAAGATGTCCGCTTCACACCGGGTGTACTGTTTCTGTAAGGACGATAACTCCTCCACTTTGGTTGATTCCATTCTACGCCAGGTGTCGATCGAGCTCAAGAGTTCTCTTGTCTTACTCGGTAACTATTCAGTGGAAGCTTATGATTATTTTTCTCAGTTATATTTGAATTCTTTTCACTAAGGTTGTACTTTATTTCTGTAGGCTGCAGCCCAGGTATCACTGATGAATTAATTAGAATGAATGGATCGTTTGTCCGACGTCTTGTAGAAGATACCTGCATGCTCATGTTACCAAGGGAAAACTACAGAGAGATGTAGGTGGTTATGGTTTCCTTTCTTATGAACACAAGTCTATAAGGGTTTCAAATTTTGACACTATATTCACAGAAAATATTAGCTTTTACTAGGATAATATTTCTTATATTCCTCAATTTAAGACAGTAATATTATAAAAGTTTACAAATTATTTCTTTTAAAAAAAATACTATCATTTGTTATCATGAAAAAGTAAATTTTAATAGAGACTGTTATGTCAGGACACAAATTAAAATGAGTCATTTTTAAAATTAAAATTGGATTCCTTTTTTCGAATTTTAATTGATCAATAATCAGGAAATTATCAATGGAAAATTGCCAAGGTATATACATGTATACAACATAATCATCTATATCTGAATACCAAGTTTATTTTTTATAACGCGTCAATGAAGAATCCTATTTTGTACTATTTAAGAGAATACAAAATTCCTACACGTGACCCAGTTAGGTTTACCATGTATGCTAGAATACATCATGAAAAACAATATCAAGATGCTCACTCCTCCAAGGCATCTGATGCCACCTTTGATGTTTATAGAAGTCCGTGTTGCTCTGTTGCAAAAATTGTGTTGCTTCATGGACTTTTGAGCTTGAATATTGTTCGTTATCTCCATATATTTCATTGACATTATTTTTATAGTTTTTGGAGACCAGGCTTTCCAACAATCTGGAATTTTAATGGCCATTTACTGTTCCCCCTATTAGCTGATTTAGCTGACCTGTTTTTATGTTTAATAAAGAATTTACCGGTATTCAAAAACTTCTACATAAGAAGAAAAAAAAATGCAGTGGCCTTCAATTCGACTTTAAATATATCGACTTCGATTTATCAATTATAATTGTTATTTTCTTTCGTATGTCTACTTGATATATCCTAGCAAAGTTAAAATAAAAGACGTCTGTCATATCTGTTTCATATTTAGATGTTTTACTGATTTAGAACTTAATTCTCAACTGACAACTGAACTTTGTAATCTCTGTAAATTTGAGCGCAACATGTCCTTGCATGTAACTCGTACGGAAGCTTTTTTCTGACCTAACTTCACTTGATTACTTGCTTTACGTTTGTTTTCAAAATTTTACAAATCAACACCAAAGCTGAAATGTATAAAACATAATATCCCACATATCTCCTATTATTATTAATTTGATGATGTCTGTACATATTGAAAATAGTTATCAATGTGACCTTTTTTCTAGTGCGATTCCTGATGGCTTTCAAACAACATGTTTGAGAGAGGAAAACGTGGACTTAGTCATCAGGAATTTGCCGTTTGCAGAAACAAAAGAATACATTGAACAAATTATTAACACATTACCAAGCGCGTGTGTTCTCGATAAAGATGGCAAACCAGTAGCCTGGATACTACAGCATGAGTATGGTTGTGTTGGATTGTTGCATGTGATGCCAGAATATAGAAGATTAAAACTTGGAACCACTGTTTCAATGCTTCTAATCGAAAAATTTTTTGAGAATGGCGATGACGTCTATTCTTGGGTAGATAAAAGAAATCATTCGGCACTGGCTTTTAACTTGAACAATGGATTTGTTCGTTTGCCAGATTTTACTGTAACTTGTTCAGAATATATGTACAGAAGTCCCATTGAAAACTCATAGAATTTAGAAATAAAAGAAACTGTGATCTTATACACACCGGACACATATATATTTTTGAAACGAATTTTATGCTTAACTCTTTGCCTCTTTATTATATATTCTTTCGTGTGGACTGTGTTACACGTTTAATATAAAATCATAGATTGTACTTTATTAAAAAGTTTAAATCTAAAACATTGTTCAAAATATTTGTTTGATTTACCAGAGAGTGTTCAATTACTGTGCTTATAATAAGGTGAGAGACAACGACACTCGTAACCCCTCCTTTTTTTTATTTCTTCGGTCACATGCATAATCATTTTTAAATCGAAACTTGCTGAATCTTTTAATAAAGAAAATGAAAAGAGAAGTATTATCACTCGTAAAGATTTTTATCACAGTTATTTTACAGATTATTGAGGAGAGAAAAAAGAAGTTGGTATACTACATAATGTATTTGTAGCTTTCAACATATTTGATTTAACTTACATGAAAAAAAAAATTAAAAAAAATTTGAATATCTCTTAATTTTCTGTTGGACAATAACAATTCGTCAAAGGAGACATTTTATTTTAACTGACATCTTTTTAGTAATATTTTGACCGATACAGCTAAAATATTGCCGACTCGGCTTTAAACAATAATCAATCTTAAATTAGCAAAAAGCATAAAGCACATCGAAATGCAGTATATTTCTTTTCTTTGGACTGATTCAAAACACTTTTTTAACAATATAATAGTTTACAAAGAGAGTCTATGAACTTGTTGGACGAAGGGGTCGATAGCATTTTTTTCCGATGGTGTCCGAAGTATTCCGTTTAGTTGTTGAGCAAATCGCGCTGTTTGTACTCTTGGAAGGTTTTCTATGAAAAACACATTAATGGTAGCTGTGTTTATCGAGAAATATAAAAAAGTATTTCAACTATTTTTGCTAGGCCTGCAAACGGAATACATTTTGCCTTCATAATCAGATTTCCATGGCATGATGAATTTTATAAAAAGGCGTATTTATATCGAATCCAATCAAACTTGCACTAAGTGAAGTCAAAATAAGAAACATGGTATATGTGTTACATTGTGACACGATAGCGGTGTTTTTCTTTGAAGCTTGCTGTTCTGTATTAGCAATACAGAACGAGACTACAGTGGGCGGAACTACTTTCCGTTCTGTATTAGCCCTGTATACTGTCTTGTATTAGCCAACTGTTCTGTATCTAAAATACAGCACGGTCTAAAAATAAATATAGGATCTCCCATGATTTGTAGTTGGATATGATTTTTATCCAACGAGTTGTGTGTTTTTTATCCCCGAGCCTTGGCGAGGGGATAAAAACACACAACGAGTTGGATAAAAGTCATATCCAACTACAAATCATGGGAGATTCTTTTTATCCAATGTTTAATACTTCACATCCAATGTTTTACTCTGTTTTATACAGGACTCCACTCTATTTTACTTCATCACTTTAACGCAAAAACCATTGTGATGTCACAATTGCACTTAACTGTGGAATATGAAAAAATTATCCAATGAGTCATATCCACGGGATAAAGGAGTAAACATTGGATAAATCAATTTATCATAGTAAATGCTATTATAAATTTTGGAGAAATATTTCCTTAGGAATGTAAAATGAAATGTCAAAATTTCTCAATCACTTTTAAAAAATATTCCACACAGAGTCTACACGTTATTTCGATCCAAACGAAAAGAGAAATTCGCAATTATGGAAAACATCATATGTTGGATAAATTCCTGAAAAACCTGTCTGCTTTTTGTGTCCCCTTCAAAATGGTAAAGCCAATGGGTTCGCGAATGCAGCATACATTAGTTTAAATTCGCACTCCTCCTCCCTCATTTTCCACTCTTCTCGTGGAAACTCAATCAGGTCCATTTTCAGGGTTTTCTAATTTCATCTTAAATCCTTGTCGCTGACAACTGCCGCACATCTCTTTTCGTTTTTAATGTCGCATTTCAATAAGAAAATAAAAATCCGTAACATACAGTCCATCTAAAAACTGTCTGTATCGCCTGTATGTGTATCTAGTTAAACCGAGATTTTAAGACCCCTGAAATAAATTAGGATCAATCTCCATCTACAACAAGGTTAAAGTGTTCACCTTATCAATTAAGACTGACTTCAAGTCTGTTACGTCTACCCCGTTGTCAAAACTAATCTGACTAAATCTTACGTTGTCCGTGGAAATATATATACTGTGGATGTATACTCCCCGTCGAGGCCTCATCTACAGAGAGAACAAACGAACTCTGGCGGAAGTTTGGATGCTGCACAGCTATAAAGTGGGTGATGCTTTTTTTGATTGATCGTGTCACAAATCATTTAGAGAACTCGACAGGTTCTGTATCGTAGATACAAATTTGAAGGTGGAGACTCGTACTACGCACTCGTCCACCCCCAAATTTGTATCTACGATACAGAACCCGTCTCGTTCTTTAAATAATAGCCGGGGTTCTACGGTACCGGTGTACTTATTGATGAAGGTTAAAAACAAAACTAAATACCAAGAATTGTAAACAATAAATGTCACTCATCAACAATAAAACATGTGTTTCAATAATGTATCAGCTTGAAATGGTTCTGTTTACTCACTAAATCTTGAAATACACATGAAAACTATACCGCGCGTAAGTTGCTAGTGTCAAGGGACGTTACTCTGATACCGGTGTATATGTATGGTGCGCTACCAGCGTTACAGTTGAGCAAAATTTTGTCATAAAATTCAGTGAACAAATTAAGTTATTTAAAATGTAAATCCTTTTGAGATTAATTATCTTTGAAGTGCATTTTTTTTTCAGAAAGTTAAGGGGAAAAAACAATATTCTGAAATACTTTATTCCACAAATTCAAGAAACTGAATTTTTTTTTCATAATTAAGAAACACTTAAAAGAACCTCATTCTTTCATCTCCTTTACTTTACAACAGAGTAGTAAATGGGATAAATGTCTACACAAATAACTCTTTTCCAATTTAACAAAAAGTAATCATTCTTGGCTCCTTTGGCTGACACAGTCTACATACACATCATCATAATTTCCAATTTCCAGATGTTAAATTTCACCATAATCAATACAAATTGCACCCATTTCACTTTTGGATATAATTTTTAATGTTACATATCTATTGTCATTTAGGATTTGCTCCATAATCTTGGAATTTTTTTTTTTAACTCGGAGGTAAAGCTCTTGATGCTGAATTTTCATCTGTTGCTTGACACTCCTTTAAAAGTAGCATTATATGCCTTTTTGAATTTTCAGATTTTGTCTATTGTATTTTTATTTCAATTTTTTTTAATTTTTTTTTCCTGCACCCTTAAAACAGAAGATAATTATTTTTTTTTTATCAGATAACAAATAATGAAAAAAATATAATTGGAGGATAATTCAGGTTAAAAAAAAAACTTCATGCTTATCTGCAGTCATCTAAAAATATTTTTGACTCTTTCATTGGGTTAAATAAATCTTGCTGAAACTGCGTTCCATACATAACTTTTCCACAGTGGTCACATGACATATGACCCCATTCCTAATGTAAATAAACCAGACGACAACAAATTTGCCAATCAGTTGTAAAATGCGCCTATAAATTGACTGTTTGTTACAATTTTACAATGCAGGGTATGAGGACTGTTACAGGTAAAGTTTAAAAATGTGTCCACCCAATGTAACTTTTGATAACTTACCAGACTTTGCAATATTTTAAGATCTAAAGAAATAGTAATGACAACGAGGTATCACCAATCTTTTTCTAAAAATATCTGGCCGCTAGGTGTCGCCTAAAGCGAGTGAATTTATAAATAAAGGGATACCCCGGTACCGTAGAACCACCGGTATAATAAGAATGGAGTATACTTAAAGTTTTAGAATTCAGAGAATTTAAAACTAACTATAGCAATCGAAAATTAATTCATCAATTACTCAGGAGCTACCAGGAGTTGGTGCGAAGTGGATACACAGATTATTGTCCCCCGCTTTCACTGAAAAAGGGGGATTTTAATTTGGGTCTGTCTGTCCGTCCGTCTGTCCATTCGTCCGTCTGTATTTCTGTCTGCTACACTTTCGTTTCCGTGCAATATCTCGAGAACCCTTAGAGCTTTCGCAATGAAATTTTGCATAGCAACTCCCTATGGCCTAAAGAAGAAGCCTATTAATTTTGAGGTCAAAAGGTCAAAGGTAATAAATTCTGTCTATTATACTTTCGTTTCCGCGCGATATCTCGAGAATCCTTTGAGCTTTTGCAATGAAATTTTATAAAACAACACTCTGTGGCCTAAGGAAGACCCCTATTGATTTTGAGGTCAAAAGGTCAAAGTTCAAGGTCGTAAATTCATACATTCTGTCTGTGTGTAACACTTTCGTTTCCGGGCGATATCTCAAGAAGCTTTTGAGCTTTTGTAATGAAATTTATACCATGACTCCCTTGGTCTCTCTCACCCCTCTCAAAGTGTCCCGCCCCGATTTTTTTAAATTATTTATTGTATTAAGCACTATTTTTAGCACAGGGGCATGTGGAGAGTAATTACGTATAATACAGGTTGTCGGCGGACTTGTTAATTCTAATTATAATCTATTAGTACTGTTTAGTAATAGCTAAATTAGACTCCATGTTTTGTGTACAATTTTGACAATATCGAACGTGAATTTAAACATTATATGTGACCTAATGATTGCATTTAATTTGTTGTATATTCAAGTGCCTCCGTGGTCTAGGGGTATGATTCTCGCTTAGCGAGTGGTCCCGGGTTAAAATTCCTGACGATCCTTTTTTTTTTTTTTATTTACTCAACACATGAAATAAAGTTATGACGTCTGGCGTATACAAACTTCTCATAAAATCATTATTACAGTGTGATAAATATTATAAAAAGAATCTTCTATATACACATTAAAGAATAAGCAATCAGATCTATATATCCATATTGGCGTTTTTTTAATTTGCTTTAGTTTACATGTATACATTTAATAATTCTGCAAATCCTGGGGGGAGGGGGGGTCCGACCCCTCCCCCCTCCTTTAGATCTTGGCATGCTCTTCTTTTTTTCCTTAAGCAGGGGACACAAATTCTCTGAATTAGCTTGTTCAATATCTGCTTTCGTTATT